TTAAGGATATTATTTATACAACTTTGAAGCCTCTTTTTCATTTTCTATTGATATATTTTGTGAATTACAATAATGAAATGCCATTTTTTTTTCTCAATTGAGGGCATTTTTTAATAAAACTGGGGAAAGACACTAAGCTGAAACCTTAGATATAAGAAAAATAAAAGCAGTTGGGGGTTTCAGAGACATTGTTTGTCTTGAAAGTTATGTAAAGAAGCTTGATCAAAAGCCTGGTTTTACTACAGTCACGCTCCATTATGGAAGGTGGGGCCGTGGCAGGTGGGGGAGGGGAGATGGAGCGAGCCCTCGCCCAGACTGGACCAGGTTGCCAAAAGTCACTGCCCAAAGTGAACCTCCTGAGCCCACTGTTGCAGATGGCCTCTGAAGCAAGTCACATATGGATTCAGACCAAGAGAACAGTAATAGACCAACTAAGATCGGTGCCTTAGAAACCCACCCGGTGCCACAGCTGTGAGCTAGGAAGCCTCTCCCTGCCTCCATAGCTGATCCTTGAGTTAAAGAATGCGTTTCTGGGAAACTCCTTCCCATCTCTGGGCCTCAACTTCCGTATCTATAAATTGGGGAGATTATTGTCCTTACTACAGAAGCTCCTGTATGATGAAGATAAGATAATGTTTGTAAAGGCAGGTGGTCAAATCCACAGCATGTATTAAACTTGTATTCTTGTTTCTAAGACTGGCCACTAGGATAGAAAACCCCCTTTGTACTCATGCGGAAACTCCGCCCACCAGGTGGCTTACTTGCAGCACCTAGTCTGCACCCCAAACTCATTTCAAACTGTAGAATTTTGATCAAGCATAAGATTGGGTTTGAGTCCATTTTAGTTTTTGTTTCGTTGCTCAGCCCAGTGGTGAATTTTGATGTGGATATAACTTTATTTTTAAAGAAATCTGGTTTCTCTGCAGATGCCCAAGATGGAAGATTAGAGGGTCATGCAACATTGTGTGTCACATACTTCTTTGCGTGCACACACACACACACCCTGCACCCAAAAAGCTCCTCAAATGGGCTTCTCCCTCACTTCACCATCTTACATGAGCACTAAACCATTTAACTAAACCTAAAACAAAGATCATCTAAGAATATGAGCGGGGCCTGCCCTGAAGCCTGGTCTGGCTTCAAAACACTCTTCAACATGTGTAACTTTAAATACAGTTTCCAGCTTTTCTATGTTTCTTATGTTACTTTGGGGAGAGTTATTTCCTCTAAATTCACTGATTTTAATCTCTTAGTGATTTTTCCTTGAGTGTGCTCTTTTTTAAAGATTTACATAAAGACAACGTAAAGTAAAAAATGACAACCCCCACATAGAGATTGAAAACAAGGGTTCTAGGTCTGAAGAGCCTAGATTTCAATCAGAATCAAATTTTGTTCTTGTTTTTAATAGGGGCTGTCTTAAAATGTTTAGGATCTACACTTTCCATATTACTACCATTTCCAAGGTTTCTTTTAAGGATTTCTAAACTCAAGTCTAAATTATCTAAATCAAAAGCCCCAACACTTAGCACTGCCAACTTGTCTGCAGGATTTGGATTATGTTGTCTGCCCCCTCCACAGCCCAACATGGGGTACAGACAGTGTCCCCTCCTTACCTCTCTAGCCTGTGACCTCCTACTGATCTTTCAGAACCCAACTTGGACATCGAATTTCCTGGGGATCCTTTGTGGACACCTCCCCCAGCATTCCTATGCTGCCTCATGGCAATTGACATCCTGAATAGTAATCTTTGGCTTATTTTTCCTTTTTGCCCCAGTGGTCTTTGAGCTCCTTCAGAAAAAGGACTGTGCCTATACCTTGGCAAGCAGAGTATCTGTAATAGGAGTACATTTCTGCTGACTACTTGGATGTATAAGACTGATGAATGATAGTAGGTGGTCACAGTAACCCATTCCCAAGCCTGCACAGCTAGTTGGATGGTGAGGAGACAGAGTTTAAGGCTAAGAAAACATTGCAGAGATGGGAGAATGTTGCCTTAGGTGGCTTCAGTACCTGGAACCTGTGACTCCCTCAGCCTACCTGAAAGGGGTTGGTTTTTCACTTTATTTTCCACTCCACTGAGCTCCTGTCTCCTTGCTATTTTGAGTCTTTGAGAGATAAGGGAGACTAGACCATATTATCTAACTAAACATCTATCTCAGGCAACAGGATGAGAGGATGTGGGGGGAAATGTGAGCCTAGGTTGAGATGGGTGCCTGTGTGTTTGGTGGGAGTGTGGAGGCTGCAGGCACATTCCTCCTGGCAGGTAGTTGAGGGGACTGTCTCCAAAAACCTGTACAGCCCAGGTGGCAATGGGAGGGGCAGAGGAGGGTGTAAGGAGCATGTGTAGTATGTGTGCACATGGGTGAGCTCCCTGGTGTGTCTGTATTTGCTATTCCTATAAGTGTTGGCATGTGGGGAAGTTATGCTGGTACAAATGCATGGCTATCTGTACAGGTGTGCACCTGTCTAAGTCCATAGGGGAATGAGGTGAGATGTGGGAAGCAAGTCCCAGAGCATTTAGAGTTTACATGTCTATAAATTGGTGACAGTTGTCTTTTCACAGAACAACCCCATCCATCATTTTGGAGAATCTCCCAGGCTAGCAATGCTGTGGCTGCCGCATTCCATTCATTTCCCTTCTGAAATACTGGGTCACATATGGTAAAAGTTCACAACTCAGAACCAAGTTTTGTTTGATTTTTAAATTTAATGAGAAATAGAGGGAGGATAGTGTGTGTGTGTGTGTGTGTGTGTGTGTGTGTAGACAGTGGCTAGAGGACTGAAAAGATTTCCTTCCCAGAGGAAAACCTTAAGTCTATCCTAGTCCCAGACTCCAACAGAGGAAACACAACACGAAGCCTGGAGAGCACAGAGGCAGCGTGTACACACGAGGAAAAGGCAGAAGATGGGCCTGCCGGCGTCACCGCCACCCGCTCCCGGGCCCCCCACATCAGGGCAGGCTAAACACGAGGAGGCTTCTGTCTGCAGGGCTGGAAGAGAGGCGCCCTCGTTAAAACTCAGATAAACAGTTTATCAGGAGATGAATGAGCCACTGGGCTCCAGAGTCGTCTCCCCTTCCCCAGTGTGGAGCCAGCTGGGAGGGGGCTGCAGGCAGAGCAGGAGCCAGACAGGGAAGGGACTGTCGGCGCTGGAACAAGCTCACCAAAGTGCCCTTCCTCCTTTGGCCTTAGCTGTGTCTCTCTGTTCCTGGAAATGCATTTCACATTTACTTACTCATGTTCCCTCCCCAGCCCACGACCTGGAGTTATGTTCCTCTCCTTTCCCCCCTCTTTCCTCCTATCTCCCCTCCTGTTCTCCCCCTCTACCCATCCCACTCCACCCCCATCTTATGCTACTTAGAACTTCACTGTTGTAACCAGAATCCCATCACCAACAGGACACGCAAAAATTAGAATGTCTTGGGAAGCTGAACTGGCCCCCACCCTGGCTGTGAGTCTGAACTGCCTGGCCCCTGTTAGGCTATGGGGAGTCTACCACCCTCTGGCCTTGGAAGCTATCTCCAGCCTCACATTCTTGCCACTGTCTGGAAAAAAGTGACAAGTAACAAGCCTTGTGGCTGACTTTTCCTCACTCTGCTAAGTTGGGTCAAGTCCAGAAATGCCATTTTGGTTCTGAATAAGGAAAAGCCCATCCAATGCAACATTTATGAGGCCTTAGAGACGGTCAGCATCAGAAGGTAATGATTTGCATATGCCTAGGATTTTGCTAGGCCTGAAAGATGGCAGCTTTCTTGTCTTTTCCTTTATGGTGTCTTATGGTCCCCTGGCATCTCGGTGTCCCCACTTGGCAAAGAGGTAAAGTGACTGGCCCAAAGTCACCAAGTGGGCAGATTGCAGGTTTTCTGACTTCAAGCCCTGCCTTGTTTGCTTATCTCCCACAGCTGCCTCAGGCCTACTTTTCCAGGGCCAAAGAAACAGAAGATTGCTGAATTATTCTTAGAATCAGTTGAAAATAAGAGAAGATGCATTGAAAGCATCCTCAGGGGCCTCTACCTTGACCTGGAATTGCCAAAGCAGTTCAGAAGAGTGCTTCAGTTTTCCTTGCTTCAGCGCTTTACGGGGACAGAAATTACAGGATGTAGCCAACCAAAAACAGACCTACGCTCATCTTCACTAGCCTATTCCCACTTGTACAGCTGAGGCCCAACCAGCCAAACCCCACTAGGTCCAAACATCCCCCACAGTGAGGGCCTGATCAGAAAGCTGAGCTGCTAGCCATCCTTCCCTCTGCCCATCTCCCACCCCACAGCTTCCTTTGGAAAAAATGCAACCTTCTTTGTCCTGCTTGTCAAGCTCCTTCCTTAACCAAGTTTTGTTTGATTTTTAAATTTAATGAGAAATAGAGGGAGGATAGTGTGTGTGTGTGTGTGTGTGTGTGTGTGTGTAGACAGTGGCTAGAGGACTGAAAAGATTTCCTTCCCAGAGGAAAACCTTAAGTCTATCCTAGTCCCAGACTCCAACAGAGGAAACACAACACGAAGCCTGGAGAGCACAGAGGCAGCGTGTACACACGAGGAAAAGGCAGAAGATGGGCCTGCCGGCGTCACCGCCACCCGCTCCCGGGCCCCCCACATCAGGGCAGGCTAAACACGAGGAGGCTTCTGTCTGCAGGGCTGGAAGAGAGGCGCCCTCGTTAAAACTCAGATAAACAGTTTATCAGGAGATGAATGAGCCACTGGGCTCCAGAGTCGTCTCCCCTTCCCCAGTGTGGAGCCAGCTGGGAGGGGGCTGCAGGCAGAGCAGGAGCCAGACAGGGAAGGGACTGTCGGCGCTGGAACAAGCTCACCAAAGTGCCCTTCCTCCTTTGGCCTTAGCTGTGTCTCTCTGTTCCTGGAAATGCATTTCACATTTACTTACTCATGTTCCCTCCCCAGCCCACGACCTGGAGTTATGTTCCTCTCCTTTCCCCCCTCTTTCCTCCTATCTCCCCTCCTGTTCTCCCCCTCTACCCATCCCACTCCACCCCCATCTTATGCTACTTAGAACTTCACTGTTGTAACCAGAATCCCATCACCAACAGGACACGCAAAAATTAGAATGTCTTGGGAAGCTGAACTGGCCCCCACCCTGGCTGTGAGTCTGAACTGCCTGGCCCCTGTTAGGCTATGGGGAGTCTACCACCCTCTGGCCTTGGAAGCTATCTCCAGCCTCACATTCTTGCCACTGTCTGGAAAAAAGTGACAAGTAACAAGCCTTGTGGCTGACTTTTCCTCACTCTGCTAAGTTGGGTCAAGTCCAGAAATGCCATTTTGGTTCTGAATAAGGAAAAGCCCATCCAATGCAACATTTATGAGGCCTTAGAGACGGTCAGCATCAGAAGGTAATGATTTGCATATGCCTAGGATTTTGCTAGGCCTGAAAGATGGCAGCTTTCTTGTCTTTTCCTTTATGGTGTCTTATGGTCCCCTGGCATCTCGGTGTCCCCACTTGGCAAAGAGGTAAAGTGACTGGCCCAAAGTCACCAAGTGGGCAGATTGCAGGTTTTCTGACTTCAAGCCCTGCCTTGTTTGCTTATCTCCCACAGCTGCCTCAGGCCTACTTTTCCAGGGCCAAAGAAACAGAAGATTGCTGAATTATTCTTAGAATCAGTTGAAAATAAGAGAAGATGCATTGAAAGCATCCTCAGGGGCCTCTACCTTGACCTGGAATTGCCAAAGCAGTTCAGAAGAGTGCTTCAGTTTTCCTTGCTTCAGCGCTTTACGGGGACAGAAATTACAGGATGTAGCCAACCAAAAACAGACCTACGCTCATCTTCACTAGCCTATTCCCACTTGTACAGCTGAGGCCCAACCAGCCAAACCCCACTAGGTCCAAACATCCCCCACAGTGAGGGCCTGATCAGAAAGCTGAGCTGCTAGCCATCCTTCCCTCTGCCCATCTCCCACCCCACAGCTTCCTTTGGAAAAAATGCAACCTTCTTTGTCCTGCTTGTCAAGCTCCTTCCTTCTTCAATAGAACTATAGAAGCATTGAAATGGGTCGGCTGTTGAGTCCCCAAGAAATTCCAGTCATCCTTCCCTAAACTCCTGTAGACCAGCAGCCACCAAGAATAGCTCAGCTGCACATGCTGAGTGGACAAAAAGCAGGCCCAGAGTCACTGGAGTAGATTTCAACAGCATCTCCAACCCCTTCAAGACTCTCTAGCTCAAACCTGAGCTTGTTGGCCAATTGAGGGCAGTAGGGTTCCCCAAAGAGCTAACATTTTTTGAAAGATAATTGCCCACCATATACTCTGCCCGAGGTGCTTTGCTAAGCAAGACATTCTTTACCTCTTCTATATAGCAAGGTTTTGAGAGGTATGTCTTATCCCCAATTTACAGATGGGGAAAGGAAGTTTGGAACTAAGGTGCCTTATGTTAAGAAGGTAGCAGCAGCAGGTGAGAAATAGGGTCAGAATTCCAACTGAGATCCGCATGGTCCAGAGGTTGTCTTTGAATTTCTGTTTATGAGGTTTCCTCCTCCACTCCCCATGTCCTAGATCTTCTATCTGTCCTGAGACTAGCAGTGTCCTTCCCCTCTTCATGCATACTCACATTGTATGTCTCAAATCTCTTTCTCTCCCTATCCAGATGAGTATCTCTCTCCATCAAGCAGAGCTAAAACTCACCTCTACCGTTAAGGTGTTTGTACTGCTTAATAACAGCATCTCCAGCTTCACTCAGTACCTACATGCATGGGCTACCCCAGTGTGGCACGAACTGGGGGATTTCATGCCTCCCAAGTGGGGCATTTCTGAACTCCACAGTAAAGAGGGGATGTGGTTTAAAAACAGTATCACTTACAATTGTTTTGGATTTTTTGGTAATCATAATGTATTATGAAATTTCAAGTAACATTCAAAGGATAGCATGAAAATGTAATATTTATCAAAAGTGGGCATGGGTTTTAAAAGTTGTGAAACACTTTTCTACACTCTTATGGGAATATATAGATTTTTCCCCCCATACCCTGTTAGTGTTTTCTTCACATGCTTGTCATATTCCCCCTGAACTGGACTGCTGAAGTCTGGGAGGGTGGCCAGCAACTATGAGTTCCTTCTCCTTTGTGTTTTCCCCATGATCTTCACCAGTGGACACTCTATAATAAACAAGTCACCCAATCTATTGTCTAACATGGTTTGTTTTTCATTCCTGAGAGAACTTCTTGCTGTTTAGTAAAATCTTCCCAACCTAAATAAAGGACCAAAGGATCTGGGTTGGTTTTCAAACAAAAATAGATGATCTGAAGGAGAGGAGATTGATGAAACAGAGAAGACCAAAATAAAATGTCACTAATTGGAACCTACCATCTCAGGAAGGCAGAGTTAGAATTTAGCCTTTGAATTCTTTACTGAAAAACTATTTAACTAGCTAATTTACTAGCAGTTACTAACTAGCAGTAACAAAGTTGCTTGGAACATTTCTAAGAAAACAAACTAGTGCCAAGCCTTCATAAACCACATCAGAAAGAAAGGAATATTGTTTAAGAGCCTACTATGTGCCAGGTTCTAAATCACATTATTTCAGAATCAACTCAATTCAAACAACCAGTGAGTCGCTCTTATCTCCAGTATTCATTAAAGCAAGACCTCCTTTTAAGCAGTACCTTGATGGTCTAATCTAGATATTGCCGAGATTTGCAAGTTCAAGAAAATGTTTTCCGCTGAAACTGGCCATCCCTACCAACAGCTGAGGTTTTGCATAAAAACTGTGCTGTGTCCTTAGATGATAAACTTGGCAGGTGAGGATGGCAGCACAGGTGGAAAGGAAAAACTAGATCTTTGGGGAAAGAAAGTAGAGTGATTTAGGCTGTCCCAATGAGACCTCCCAACTCCACTCCATGGAATTCTGGTGAATACTTGAGTCATCCATTCCAAGTCTCTCTTCTCCACCTTTTTCCAGACTCCAATCACATCCACCACAAAGGAAACCAAGTTTTGAAGTCTAGATTCAGTTCCTCATCCAAGGGAAAATTCACTGGAAGTGTCATTTCAGTATCCATCTCCCATCACAGAGAAACTGCTTCTGGAAGACAAAGCATCATGCAGGTTTATTTAGAATAACAGAAAGGTAGGACAGGAACCGTGATGTAGTTGTGTCACCAGTGTGGAAAGTCAGGGATTACAATGACTTATCCGAGATTAACATAGTTGATATCAAGGTGGACCCCAGCCAGGACACAGGACCTCCTACTGCCAGTTTATTTTTTGAGATTCTAGGCCCCACTTCTCCCCTCTGAGGCCAATTTCGCAGAAGCATAAGGTATAGTACTAGTCTTGTGAGGTTTGAGGGATTAAAGAGGAAAATCAAGAAGTTTGTTTACACTCAAGGGCTGGACAACTTTGAGAGAACAGCTGGAACTAGAACGGCCCCGTTACCACGAGCGCACACGCAAACACACACACACACACACTTACACATACACACATATTATCACCGTCACAGAAGCAGAAACTGAGCCGGGCAGAGTGGACAGCAGACAAACCCACCTCGCAGGGCCGCCCCGCCGGCGTCACGTGCAAGAGTCACCGAAGGCCAGCAGAGGGCGCGCTGCCCCCAGGGAGCTGAGCTGCGGCCGCGCGGAGCCCTACCAGGCTAGGAGAGCAGCAGGCGAGCCGGACGAGCCCCTGCAGCTCCTCCACTCAGGGTGCAGAACCCAGCCAAGGAAGAGGGTGAGGAGCGGACCCCCCTCGTAGGCCCGGGTAACAGGCTGGCAGGAGTGCTTCCTGGGAATTACATCACGCTGCGCAACACTGCAGCTTTCGGACTCCTCCGGCGCAGAGTGTGAGTGAGTGAGTGAGTGAGTGAGTGAGTGAGTGAGTGAGTGAGTGAGTGAGTGAGTGAGTGAGTGAGTGAGTGAGTGAGGTGTGTGTGTGTGTGTGTGGTGTGTGTGTGTGGTGTGTGGTGTGTGTG